ATATTACTAGAACTAGACCAGTAAATAAAACATCAAAACGATCCACTTCACAATGTGGGAGGAAGAATATAAACCAATGCAACAGGTGAACAAGCAATGGTATATCGCTGTAATCAATATTATCTCAGTAGAAGAGATCCAAGAGATACTTAAGAAATGCTCCAACAAATTAGTACCAGGACCACTAGGCATCCCCTATATCGCACTTAAAAAACTCACCAAAGAAACATTCAACTATATTGCAGACCTCTTTAACAATATACTACAAACAGGTATAGTATCAAATGAGTGGAGCCAGGGTAGCATATATCCCATCCCCAAATCAAAACCATGGGAAAATGACATCAACATAACATGACCGATCGCTCTTCTTGAAACAACATGAAAAATATTCACAAAAATCATCATCAACAGACTAGCTAAAATCTTTATCATTCACCAAATCTTATCTGGATACAACTGGGCAGCCCTCCCAGGTTGCAGTACACAAGAACCTATTCACATAATCAAAGCAATCCAGGATGATGCAAAACAACATGGCAACAAAGTATGGATCCTAAGCCTAGATATGGCAAAAGCCTTCGATTCAGTAAATATTCAAAGACTCAAACTAGCACTCCAACAAATCAGATGCCCAGACACCATAATTCAAATTATCATGAATATCTGTGAAAACAGACAAAACCACGTTATCACACCATTTGGTCCATTACCACGGTACACAGTAGAAGATGGAATTGATCAAAGAGATACTATATCACCCCTACTCTGGAGAATCTTCTATGACCCACTACTATCCCTGATCTCAAAAACACGAAAGGAATATACCCTCACAAAAAAAAAATAAAAGAAATCTACAGCACCACCAACCATCTCAGCCCAAAATATCTCATGTTTAGCATTCATGGATGACACCACCCTAATAGCAAGCAGTCAAAAAAGATTATAAAAAATAAGTAATATCTGCTCAACCTTTTTCACAATCAAAGATATCCAAATCAACATATCCAAATCAAATCTTTTAGTTCTTAACTCTGTGTATGACCCAAACAACCAGATTCTAATCAATGAACAACCAATCATAATGTTTCCATCAAACCAAGCAGCTAGAATCCTAGAAATATATCTGGAAGGCAAAGGATCAAAAACATATCAACAATATCTGATAAAGGAAAAAACACTAAAATATACCAACACGATCAAATGAAAAGCAACAATAGACAAACAAATCAGGTACCTACATAATCAAGTCTGGATACCAATGGTAATATACCTTCTATCGAACATGGTTCTCATAGAGCCAAACTATAACAAAATTATGAGTATTCTAAATCCTATCTATAAATACAAACTCTACCTGGTAAAAACAGTACTCAACACAATTCTATACAATCCATTGGAATATGGTTTCTTCCACCTCTGGGACAGACAACTACTACTCCATGCCAACAACTGGTACAAAAGAATAAACAGACAAGATATCATAGGAAAAATCACCAGCATGCATCTACAGGAAGTGCAAAACAGATGGTGATCAACCAAATCTATAACAAGCACACAATTCACAGACCCATTCCTACCTCAAGGACATGACTTCACACATAATCTTCTCTTTCTTCTCAGACAACATGGATACACAGGAATAGCACAAAACCTCCAAATTTTCAAAAAAACAGACATAACCATTAAAGAAATAATAGAACCAATATGGTACAATAAACATAGAAAACAGCTTGCAACAAACTCTATCCTTTTTTTAAATCAAATCACCAATTATGCAGGATCCAGATTATCAGCATGGGTAGAAATAATAACAGCAAATAAGAAATCAAATAGGAAAACACCCAATTAGTTCAAAGAAATCCAACGAAATCAAAAAATCCTAACACTGATCGAAAACAGACGAACACACACAAATCACAAAAATCAACCACAGACTAGCAATAGAAATACCAAATCAAGAAATCAAATGGACTGCATCTCAAGGTATCAACACAAGTATCATCGGTAGGAAGTGCACCATTCAACAGAACACAGTTAAACTACAACATTACATTAGAGCCAATAACAACTACTCCTCCTTTAAAGAATGTGATGGATATCCCCTGAATAACTCAGGAAAACAAGGAGAATGTATCTTTTACAAAGAAAAGAATAGCTTGATTAACATCACAGTTCACAAAAGCAAAACCAGCTCAAGAAACCTACCTTCTAAAAACTTTGTCAAAGAAGCAGAATATCACCTGACAATCTCAACGACACCCTCAGAGACAAATTCTCACACCCTAACCTTCTCCCACCATCAACTATCCTCAACAACCAAATAACAATCAACAAAACCATCATCAAAAGATACCTCAAAACAACTGAGCAAACTATCGAAGAACTGGCAACAATACGTCACAAAATAGGAAAACTCCACAAAATCTCAGTCTTCACAGATGAATCGCTAAACTCAAATCAAAAAATGGGATTTGTTTGGCACATTATCCAAAGACCAGACATTAGTTTCCAAGGAAAAATAAACTAGTTTCCATCCTCCACAAGAGCAGAACTCACTGTGATATTCACTTTTCTTACAATAGCACTTGCCAACTGCACAATCATTATTTGCAGTAATAGTCAAGCAGCTCTAGGAGCAATAAACAAGGCACAAATCAATTTAGTCAACCTGAGAACACTTAAAAACAACAACCTAATTAACTCTATAACCCACATCATAGAAAACCAAAAACTCTCTATCATCTGGAAAAAAATCAAAGCTCACAGCAATGACAAACACAACGATAAAGTGGATCTCCTAGCAAAAAAAGTCACCCTACCAGGAAAGGCATCTGAAATAAAATGCATATCAATCAGAAGTAATATGGTAAACTGGACACAAGAATGAAATAGATACACCCTAGACAGCACAATCACAACCTCAATAAAAAATTTAATCAGTACAAAACACATTCTCAATTAGAGAAGCCTTGATTGCAACTTCACAATAGCCAATAGTATCTCCACATTAAATAATATTGCATGTGAGGCCTCATTCACCAACAGACCACCTTTCAAACTCACAACAGGATCTACCAATCGAGAGGATCACAATAGTAGATCCTTCAAATACAGACTTTGGAATCTAGAACTATCTACCAAGGACAAACTACACAGAAGAGCGGCAAACATCTATATGGATAATCTATACCTTAACTGCCAACAAATAGAAATCAACACACACTGTATGATATGTAAAGGAACGGAGCAGACATTTACAGAAAACTACAGCAAATAATTAACGAAGAAGTTAGCAGTAGATCAAACACATCCATAAAACACAACCTCAATAGAGAACTCAACAAATAAACAAAACTCTGGATAAACAAAGTCAAGAACTATATAGCAAGAGAAACCCTCACAATGGACTTAATAAAGACCATTAAAAAATACACACCAGCAGAACATTATAAAGAAACCATCAAAGGTATCATTAACAGACTTCTCAACGTACAACAAGAAAAATGGAATCAAAGGTGTGACAACTTTATACAATGAGAAAAGGAACACAATATTACCATAAAAGACAAAAGGCAATGGCAATCTATATCCACAGCAAAGAATATATATAAATCCTGCATTTCAGGTATCAATGCACTTATGACACATGCTAGTCATTATTGGATCAACTGGAACACAATCTATTCATTTACAACAAAATTTTTATGGGACAGGTAGAGCCTTGGCAAATTAGTCAAGTATATATCAGTACTTGGCAATAAGTCACATGGTAGGAAGATTTCTTTATTAAGTTTACTTAGGTAAATAGAGTGAAAATTTGTATAAAATAAATTTGTATATACTCGTCATAAAAATATCTAATAAATAAGATGTAAGTTACCTATTAAAAAAAAAAAAAAAAAAGTGTGTCACAAATTGATTTGCAAGAAAAAAAATTAAATTAATAGTTTTATTAGTTTCATTTCTTGACCTTAACCCTATAGAAAATATTTGTAAACTATCAAAAGATAATATCCAAAAATGTAAAGATTTTTTATATACTATGGACAAATTCAAAACTACTTTAAAAAGGATCAAAATTTAAATATCAACTTTGTGAAATATTATAGATTTAATGTTCTAAAGAGTCAATATAATATTGAATGCAAATAGAAAAATGATTAAATATTAATAAATAGATCAATAAAAATTTTATTATTATTATATACATACAATATATAAATTTCTGGTTTTTGATAAAATTGTATATTAATTTGATGCCTACTATATAGTAATATCTAAAATATCAATAAAGATATACTATGATAATATGATTATGAGTTAAATATATATACAGTATATAAGCCTTTAATTTATATAATTTTTTTTTTGATACATATATATATATTTTATTGTAAAAGAAAAAGATTTTTTTTTTAAAAAAAAAAAAAAAAGAATAAATACTTTAAGAATTTTAAAAATAGCTTTACTTTAATTAATATTACTCAAAAAAATGGTGAAAAGATTAGTAAAAAGGGTCATTTCTATCTTATTTAAAACATAATGACCACAGTATTTATTATTAATAAAATCATAAATGTAACAATACAAATGCTATGTATGGACTTTAATCTTGAAACCTTTAAAACTCGGAAAAAAAACAATGCATGAAATATTTCTTCTAAATGATTATTGTACTGAATATAACCCGACAGTATTCATTTAGAGCATCGATTTTTTTAAAGGCTTCATGAAATATTAATGACAATAGTATGGGCCAAGTATTTCTGTAATATACAAATTTTGATGTTGGGGGACTTTCTTTCTTTGAAAAACGGTATTATTCACCAAAAGTCACATTATCTAAATTACAAAGTGAAGAGATCAACATTTTAAAGTACAATTGTAAACTTACTTTATTAAACGCTCTAACTTGCCAGGAAGAAGAAAATGATAAAAAATAAAAATTTTTGGAACCAGTTCCGGAATAGAATTCATCGTTTAAATAATGATTAACTTTATAACTCCAAGTCGAAAGTTGCGTTAACACTCTTTCCATTTTGATTCGTACAATACGCCCTAATCTCCATTTGTCCAAATGTCAGGGTAAATCTCAACTTCCTGTTGAAACCCAGATATGGATCTGGGAAATCCAATATCAGCTCTCCCAGTTTCTCCATTCCCGGTTCATCGGGGTATCTACCATCCGACTCGGGCGTCTTGTATATTTTCATTGACGCCGCAACTTGATCTTCTATACTGGGGAACAAATCTTTACCAAATTCTTGATCGACGTCCACCACCGTGCCTCTGGACACAAGTTTACTGAATATGTCAATGCGGTTGTGCGCGATCCTGCGTTCCGGTGGATCACCTGGTTTCCATTGCGGTGATAATTCTATGCCATAGGTCCATTTGAGAACTCTGGTTTTGATTACCTTCATATTTAGGCCATACTCCAACCCACCTCTACGGCAATTTAGACAAATGATAACATTATTCATCATTCTTCACAACAGTTTGCATATAATAGAAAAATTCCCACCTGACAATAGCAGCTTGTGGTTGTTTTGGTACATTGATATTTTTGACTTGTTCGTTGAATTCTTCTCGGATTCTCCTTTGTAAGTATTTCGACTCACTAAATCCTCCTACCAAAAACATTGCCGAGCAACTTTTACCATTATTAAGTTGCGCAGAAACGAGTCTAATGATCTTTGCGATGACGGGATCGAAGAACGATTTAACTGTCTCAAAATCCAAATCGATCACCCATTCATCCTTTTCCAACTTTGATTTGGCCGTACCGCTGACATATTGCTTTATGATCGGGCAAACCTCATCAAGATCTAACTCATAAAGCTTAAATTCCCTTTTAACACCGGTGAACGGTAACTTCACCTTCGAGCAGAATTCCTGTACCATATACTGTAATTGGCCATAATGTTGTTCTTCTAATAACCTTATTGCTGATTCGCCGACTTTGCGTTTCAAAAATTTAATAAACTCTCTGTCTACATATGTACCGCCACAGAAATCACCGGTGCGCTCTGTGACTTCACCCAACCTCGAATCAGGCAATAACTCCCGTGTAGTCAAATCAACGGTGCCTCCCCCACAATCCACAATTAAGAAATTCGCTATTGGATTTACGAATAGAAGATAATGAAACCATTTGCATATAGTTTCAATGAGTGCACCACAAAAGGACTACTTACTGCCTACGTCGGTAAGGAAGTGTTCCTTTAATACGCTCATGCAATGAATAGCGGCGGCTTCGGCTAGTGGATGAAAAAGTTTCTCAGACACTCAAAGCATCTTGGTAAAATATTCAATATTATTTGCATTATCACTCACGTTCTGTGGAAAACTGTAATTTTTCTGAATTCTTAGATTCAATTAAATTTGCGTTGTAGACACATTCTCTCAGTGTTGCATTTGCTTGTTCGTTGAACTCCGCGGGGACCGTCATGATTATTAATACTTGTTTCATGAAATTGACGTTTGGCCAACGTGTTGCTATTGTTTCTTTGATTAGCTATTGAAGACGCGGTAAGTAAATTTCAGTAATTTCGATGATTCGATTAGAACCATCCTTCCTTCGGAGTAAAATAATACATCTAAATGATCAAAGGCGGTATCTTACCTCACCTATAATTCATTACAAGAACTTGTTAACAGTCACGACCAATGTGAATGGACTTAAAGAAATCATTACACATACCCATTTTCCTCAAGTAATCCACGATTGCTTTTTTAGGATCCAATCCTCTGGGTAATGGTGGTTTGTCACTATCAGGCATATTCCCCAGATGTAATTTGAATAATTCAACGGGCTTGGAAAAGTTTCTTTGACGAATTTTTTTCGAAGGCTTCTGTGACAAAGCTGGGGACCCCCAGTCCTGGACTTCCGAGTACGCAGAGTCTGTATACTGAAGCACCGAATTAGTCTTCAGCGGTCCAATTACACCGGGCTATATAAAGATTCAATAAACCCCATTAGATCAAAAAAAGATAATGTGTTATTATGTGATGAATGAATTTGGAATAACCTACCCAGGTTTCATTTGTTATTATTTCACGATTTAACTTGTTACTATAGGCGAATCCCTGAATTTTTCAGAAGTAAACTTAATGCGAATGATATGACTGGGAAAAGGGCATATAATTTTAAAGACTTCTTACAGAATATGTGGTCCCAAAATCTATTTCGACAAAATTTCGCGAAGAAATTGTGCACGAAACCAAGGTTCAGTCAAACACACCGAAATCACATAATAATCATATAATAATACGACTACCTTACCTATAGAAACCACGACACGGATATCATTGTTCCAATCTGTCATGATTACGCACCTGCATTCAACCCAAACCAATTTTTATATTCTTATATATTTTTCATGTGACATTATCGTGAAAATGTTATGCAAGGTGATATTCTAACTTGTCACATATGTTTGATAATCGGAAAAAGGGCTCCGCGATTGATTCCATAAATGGGTTTATGCGGTTTATGCATGGAAGGACGCATTATTTTTTTACCAAATTTAGATACGATTAAAACCGGTTTTCTCCATACCGTAATGTCGTGCAATAATAACGGAAGATAAGGAGGCTCGCGTTGCTGCAAATTGCAATTTCGTTTATTAACTTTTATTATTTAAAATTTTGGGTGTACCGTAATTGATTGAATAAAATATGCAAAATATCAAAATCCAGATTCTTATTGCGCTGCATTTATAACACGTCGTCTTACTTACAATGCCATCTTGGTTATTTTATTTTATTTTACTTTTTGTTCAATTTATTATATACAGCCAAAATAAATATCGCAGATAGGTAAATACTTGTCGCATGGAAGTAAGTACTACGTACAATCTCTGGATGAATTAAATCATCCAGATCTCGTGTTCATCTTTAGAAAATGAACTCCGCATATAAATAGATAAATATTATACACCTATCACATACACATCTAAAGGTTATGCAAAGAATTAACCAAAATATTCCATTTAATACCTAAGACGAATAAATTCCCCAACTCAAAAGCAACCGATAGTACCTTAGTTGCTCCTACCATTATCACCATCTGTGCCGGTATTTTCTAAAGGTTTATCATTGGTAGAATTTCTCCTGGGTTGATCATTGCCACTCTGGTCGTCCATTAGTGGCGATCTGGTCTCATTCATAGAAGATCTCTTATAATTAATATTACTATTACTTGAGTTAGGGAGTTCGGGAAGGCTACTTGATCTTTCTGGTAGACCAGCATTTCTTGCTGCAATTGCGTAACTACTTGGACTAGCCGTATGAGACGGACCAACTTTGTCAAATGTTAACTTGTTTAAATCTCTGGCTCGATTTTCGGTTTGCTTCTCATGGGGCCGATGGTTTTCTCCGGTTGGCCTGTCATCGTATTGATTTGTTTTTGCTTGTCGGTCATCGAATTGATTTTTTCTTGTTTGCCTGTCATCGAATTGATTTGTCCTTTTTTGCCTGTCATCGGATTGATGGTTTAATTTAGATCTCATATTATCAGATTGATTATTCGTTCCATCGTCGGGTTGATTTGTCCTGATTCGCCTATCGTCGGATTGTTGGTTTGTTCTGGTTTGCCTGACACCACCTTGGTGGTTCGCCCTAGCTTGTCTATCATTGAACGGTGATTGATGATTTGTTCTGATTTTCTTATCATCAGTTTGATAAGTTTGCCTACTATCGTACTGATGACCGGTTCCGGTTTTCCTATCGTCGGATTGATAATTTGTTCCGGTTTTGTTCTCGTCATACCGGTAATTTCCTCTGGTCTGCATATCGTAGGGAGAGTTAC